CCGCAGCTGCGGCCGGTTACTAGGCGAGGCCGCGGCTCCTGGAAACGGCTGCGCCCGCCTCCCTGGCTCCCCGCCCAGGCGGCCTCTTCCCGGCACCTCCTGGGAAGTGTAGTCCGCTCCGTGCGGACCCGCGCGAGGAGCGCCTGGGCGGGACCACAAGTTCCAGGATGCCGAGCGGCCGGGTGGGAGTTGGAGGTTCGGAAGGCTTAGGGCGGAGGCGTGCTCTCCGGGGCGCGCCCTGGAGTCTGCGGTCTGCGGGCGGCGGCCGCCGCGGGGCGTCCGTCTGCGTGCAGAAGGGCCGCTGGGGTGGCGAGGGGACAGTGTCTCCAGCGCCCCTGGGAGTTTCTCCTGCACCAGCCTCCTCTGGGGTCCTGTAGCCTACGTAATCGCTTGGATCAATGAAGTTCAAGTGTGTTTCCTATTTCAGTTTTCCTTCTTATTTGGATGGATTCTAATGCCTGGAAATGCAATGCTGTCAAAGGCTGAATCCAACAGTGCTGGCTTCCGGTGATGTGGTCTCGCTCTGCCCGACCCAGAACCATCTTGTCCTCTCCGTGCATGGCCTGCCTCCTTAAACTGGAAGACTGGAGTACAAAGGAAAGGGGTATTGGGAAAGTTCCCACATCACCAAAGACCACCTTGGCCTTGGTGGCATTTCTCAAGTGAAGCAGCCTCTGTTCAAACTGGGGCGACCGCTGGCCTTGGTAAGAAAAGATTTCAAAAACGCAGTGACCACAAGGTCGCAAAAGGAGGTGGGAGTGGATGTTCGGAACATGTCCTTTGCAGTTCACCCACTCGGTGTAGCTGCTTATTCGGTTCTTCAGGCACCTCAAGCCGTAGCGCTGCCGCCCGGCCTGCAGATAGATGACTAAGAATGGCAGAGGGTGGGCGAGCAGTCGCTGCCCGCGGTGCTTCCCTGAGACTCAGGACCGAGGAGCCTGTGAACAGTCTCTTCTTCAAAGGAAACAGGAATCCTCAAACGGGTGAGGTGGCACTGTCTTGGTGCCACCCAACGTAACATAGAGCCTGGCCATAGATAAAACAAAGATATCGATGGCAATGCCATAAAACGATGCCAAATAAGTTTTATAAAGATAATAAATTCTGCACTCGTATTCGGAAGAAGAAAAGCTTCCCCAGCTACAGTAAGTCAGGAAAGATGGCATGGTTGTTAGGTCAAGCGCCATCCAGTCAGTCTGAGTCAGTGACCCTGGGCACAACAGAAGGACACCCTGCACCGTCCTCACAATTGTCCCTCTCTACCTGAGCCCATCGCTGCAGAGCCTATCCCCGCCATCCCTGTGTCAATCCATCCACATGAAGTCCTCCAAGGACTGGTCTCTCCAGACAGTATGTCCGAGAATGTAAGATGAAGTCATGGCATCCTTGTCTCTAAAGAGCATCTGGCTGTACTTCTTCCAAGACAAATTCCTATATTCTTTTAGCAGTCCGTGGTACTTTTCAATATTCTCCAGCACCACAATTCAAATGCATCAATTCTTTGGTCTCCGTTATTCAGTGTCTAACTTTCACATGCATGTGAAGCAAATGAAAGTACTGTGGCTTGGGTCAGGAACACATTAGTCTTCAAAGCAACAACCTTGATTTTCAACACTCCAAAGAGGTCTATTGTAGCAGATTTTCCCAATGCAACTTGTCTTTTGGTCTCTTGACTGCTGCTTGCATGAATATTGATTGTGGATCCAAGCAAGACAAAATCTTTGGCAATTCAACCTTTTCTCCATTTATCATGATGTTGCCTATTGGTCCGTTGTGAGGATTTTGGCCTTCTTGACATTGACCCCCTAGTCCATACTGAAGGCTGCAAGCCTTGATCTTCATCAGCAAGTGCTTCAAGTCCTCCTCACGTTCAGCAAGTGAAGATGTATCATCTGCATGTCACAGGCTGTTATAAGCCTTCCTCCAATCCTGATGCCACGTTCTTCTTATATAATCCAGCTTCTCTGATGACATGCTCAGCACACAGATTGAGTAAGTATGGTGAGAGGATACAACCCTGATACTCACCTTTCTTGATTTTAAAACATGCAGTATGTCCTTGTTCCATTCACACAACTGCCTCTCAAGTTGTGAACAAGTTCTGCATGAACACACGTGTTTGGAATTCCCATTCTTCCTAAGGTTATCCACAGTTTATTGTGGTCCAGTCAAATGCCTTCGCAAGTAAACATCTTTCTAGTATTCTCTGCTTTCAGCCAAGATCCATCATTAACAATGATGCCCCTTGTTGTCAGGACCTCTTCTGAATCTGGCCTGAGCCTTTGTCAGTTCCCCGTCAATGTACTGTTGCAACCAATGGTGGGTGATCTTCAGCAAAATGTCATTTGCATGTAATATCCATAGTATTGTTCTATAATCTGAGCAGTCTGGTGGATCACCTTTCTTTGGAATGGGCACAAATGGATTTTTCCCAGTCAGTTGGCCAAGTAGCTGGAATGTGTGCTTCATCAGCTTGTGGAATTCTTTCCATCGGCATCCTGTCAATTCCTGGTTCATGCTTTCAGTGCAGCTTCAACGTCTCCCTTCAGTACTCTTGGTTCTTGCTCCCATGCTGCCTCCTGAAATGGTGGAATGTTGGTTAGGTTTTTTATAGTACAGTGACTCTGTATTCTCTCCATCTTCTCTTGATGCTTCCTGCATCATTCGGTATTTTACCCGTAGAATCTTCCATCATTGCATGATTGCATGATTGCTTCTCTAGTTCTTTCAGTTAAGATAAGCTGAGCGTGTGCTTCCCTTTTGGTTTTCTAGTCTAGATGTTTGCACATTTCATTATAATCTTCGGCTTTATCTTCTCGAGCTGCCCTACGGCACTTTCTGTTCACCTCCTTCACTCCTCAGTTCCTCCATTTGCTTTGGTCACTACCGTCAAAAGCGATTTTCAGTCTCTGTTGACATCCACTTTGATCTTTTCTTTCTTTCCTGTACTTTTAATGACCTTTTGTCTCCTTCATGGATGATGATCTTGTAATCTTACACTTACAGGCTTGGGCCATTTGTAACAGTTCAGGAGCTGTTCATTTAGATCTAGAGGTTAGTTATCTTTGGGATGTCTCCATCCAATTGTTCTAACCACAGTTGGACTTTGTAGATCTGGTATCATCGGAATCAGTTGATACGAATCAGGGAGTCTACACTTGTAGGCCTCAGCAGGGGTTTTAATTCCTCAGCAAACTTGTAAGGACCCACAATTTTGAAAATGTTTAGCATTTTTATGTAATTCTCAGAACATCCAAGAAGAGGAGTCTGGGGAGGATTCTGAATATCAGCACTGGGATGGATTTTTAAAGTGTTTCAGAAATAGATGTTACTTTCCCTGTCAGTACTTTCAAAGAAAAGGGCCACACAGGGAAAATATATTCCACATAGAGGAATCTTTTGTAGCATCAGAGGTGCAAGGAGGCAGAGAGAGATACAAGAGACAGGTGGTCTGGTCGGCAAGGGAACAGATGCCCCCACCAGGGACTTGAGTGGTTAGAAAATAAATCTGGAATTGCACTTCTTTATTTTGTTTAGTTGGTTTTTGAAACATTTTTCTGTAGAGAAGCAAGTTTAGTCTGCTTATGTCTTCTAGAAGTTTCAACAGTCTAATTTAAAAAAGCATTCCATTGCTTCTGTTTCATTTGAGAGCCTTTCTTTTCTGACTGTGCCAAGAAGTCCATTTAGATAATACAAAAGAACGAAACTCAAGAAATACTGCCAACAAGTCGGTTCCAAGTCAGCGTGACCCTGTAGGACAGGGTGCAAATGCCCTGTGG